CTACGTGACTTCATAATAGTTGGAAATGAACACATTACACCCGACCCTACCACTCTATATACAATGTAAACTACACCCCAAAACATCCTTTCACCCACAGTTACTACCGTGTTTCACCAGTGTATTCTATTTGACGTCAGGAGAAATTGAAATAAACAAATTAATTATAATTTCAGCCTCTAGTTGACCACTGATTAAATAAACTACCTCGTCTTTATGTCAACTTGCAGTTATTCGTTGCCTACACCAGTGACTTCAAAATATATGTTTCAATCCCAGGAATTTCACTCGCTGTTAATTGCATGGGAGTGGCAGTCTTTAATGAATTTCTATTGTCATGTCAATTTCTTGCGATTACTCGAACATTAAGCTGTAACCACATACCGCCTAGGTGCTGTAACTAAATCCTGGTGTAAGCACCATATGAACTATGAACAATGTATGTGAAGCCAGCTGTGGGGTATATTCAATCCTATAGATTTCTCATTGTTTGGTAACTATTTGCTGCAAATGCAACAAAAATCAAGATAAAAAATATTACCCACACAGTATTCTACAGGTTACTTGTCTCTTTATATTTAGTTTTATGCGTCATTCAAGATGGCGGCCCCATATAGTAAATATCGTATTTATTTTATTATCACGTGTGCGCCAGCTGACTGTGTCTACATGTAACCACATCAGTGGGACTGTGATGTAACCGTGACCCAGGTTCGAATAAAAATGGTGCTGGCATGTTTGAGAAAAGTCAACATTTTTCATAACGTTTTGACTGAAAATTGCATAAATATATTGCATATGGAACTTCATATGTTTTACTTTTCCATCTAGTTGGAATAAATGATTTATGCATACTTGAGAACTGGTGAAAATATTTTTTTTACCAAATTGATTTGCTTTTCATAAAAAGATCCCTCTATGAACAATACTTTAATAAAATCATTAGCATGGGAGCACATCTGATGGTACCAATCTGCCATAGATTAGAACTATATTCAAAGGTTACATATGCAACAGTTGGCTTATATGCACTTCTATTTGAGATGTTCTTTTAATACAGTAACCATTTTCACAATATACTAAGTAATATTTATGAATCATTTTAAATTATTCTAATAATTTTATGCAAGTCATTATATAATGAACATATAATATAATCACCGCAACTAATTTACAAGATTTTTATAATATAATATAATATAATATAATATAATATAATATAATATAATATAATATAATATAATATAATATAATATAATATAATATATATATTTTGATCAGAAAAATGCTTGATACATATAAATTGTCATGAAAGATATTTTTTGCAAAAATTATAATCAAAATTTTTGTGTACATGTATGGTTAGATCATACAAAAATTTGAAATGGTGTCATCCAAACATGTGATCAGTCATGTGACAGTCATAAGACCATTCGTGTGGCCGGCCAAGCATGTTGAGCCTGATCGAAGACAACAATCAATGCAAACATGCTTTACAATTTTGATTGTTTTGTTAGTCCCCTGTGTGCGTCCGTCCGTCCGTGCGTCCGTGCGTCCGTGATCACCTGTATCTCGAACATGCATGGACCGATTAAGTTCAAACTTCACTCATACATCACACATTATATGGGACATATGCACATGCATTTTTTTCATGATCCGATTAACGATAGCCGAATAGCACATTTTCACCATTCCGGACCCGGATCTCAGTTATGCATGGACGGATTTTGTTCAAATTTGGTACATACATTAAACATAATAGGACCTTGATGCACGTCATTTTTTTTTTTGGATCGGGTTCGAAATGGCCGACTGGCGGCCATTTTGTTTTAAAGAATTCAGTTCTGGATCCGTATCTGAGACATGCTTGGATTGATCGAGTTCAAACTTCACACACACAAGGTACATCATGTCACAAATATGTATGTGCATTTGTTTCATGATCTCATTAACGATAGCCAAATGGCGGCCGCTTTAAGGCCGAAAATGCATTGAAATCGCACATTTTCACCATTCCGGACCCGGATCTCAGTTATGCATGGACGGATTTCATTCAAATTTGGTACATACATTAAACATAATAGGACCTTGATGCACGTCATTTTTTTTCGGATCAAGTTCGAAATGGCC